GTCTTAGATTCGACCTCCTTTCTTTTGGGCGTCCGGTGCCAGGCCTTTGCCTGCTGCCAACCCCTTAACCGTGGGGTGCTTTCCATCTTGTCTGGACTCCAAAGGCCAGTAGGACCGTCGGGTACACCTCTTCCCCCTGCCGCTAGCCACGCTCCCTGCTGCTGCTAAGGTGATAGATTTAGGGTGGGAACCTGCTGGGGGCCCTCTCCTGCTCACACCCAGCCCCTGGTGGTCCTGGCTGCCCAGCACAGCCTGCGGCTCCCTGTCGCCTGCCATCCCCTGGTCTGCCACGCTGCATAGTACCGGCCCCTCGTGTGCCTCCTTGTGCCTCTGCATCTTTGCTCACCGTGCCCTCTGCCTGGCATGCCCACTCTGTGTGTCTGCACCTGGCCCGCCTTTAAGACCGAATGGAGGAATCACCCAGGAATCCCAAGCCTCCAGTGGTTAGTCCCTCTTGAACTCATCAGCATCCAAGGCCAAAGGCTGCGTTTTGTCTCTCTGGACTGCCAGATCCTGGCCCAACCTTTGCTGAGCCCACCGTGGGAGGCTAAGCGGGACCACCCTCCAGTAGCCCAGCTTAGGGCTAGATCGCGGGCTGGCCTTGTCCACGATGAGCAGGCATGACTGTGGCCCACGCCATGGTGGGGTTCTCCAGCAGGGCCGATGCCTGCCTCTGAAACCGACACCTCATCTTCACCTAGCCCGACCAGAGGCCGCCCCTGGAGCGTGGCCTTGGCTGTGTGCAGAGATGTCTCAGTCCTGCTGACCACCGGACAGGCAGTCCTCAAACGCCACTGAGGCAACACACGGCATGCTTATTTCGGCTCACAATATCTGCTGACCTCTTCCCCAGGAGGGACTCAGCTGGCTGGGGAGGCACTGTAGGGACAGTCCATTGGGACGTGGCCACCTCGGTCTGGGAGTGAGAGCATGTGCTTCCATTCCTCTCCCTTTGGCCAGAACCGGACATCTGGTCCCCCCGGCACGCTGTGGGGGTGCGGCGGGAAGGGCAGGCCCCATTGGATGCCTGGCTCTGGGCCAGCTCACTGTCTCTGCCACGGGACTCCGGGCTCAGCGTGGGCACGGTACGTGACAGCTCTGTGCCCCAAATTTCCCAACTTTTGAAGTCAGCACAAGAAAGCTATCGTGGGGATTAATGTCCCACCATCATGAAAGTGGCTTTTGTGAGGGCTGGCCAAGTACGTATTTGCCCTCAGTGGCCGCTCGGCGTTCCACGGCAACAGAAGCGCCTGGAAGAGGCGTCAGTGACAGCTCAGGGTACTGCCCTCTGCTGCCGGAGCCCCACCCCTCCTCTCAGAGAGAGCTCCCCTTGACTCCTGCTCCTGGAACCCAGGGTCGAAAGCCAGAAAATCCATGGATGCCACGCCTCGCACGTGGCACATAGCCCAGGGCCCCACACGTGGCTCCCCTAGAGCCAGAGGGGGTGGCACCCAATTTACGGTTGAGCAAAGAAAGGCCCGGGGACTTGCTTGGATCAGGGCAGGGCGGGGCTCCAACCCCCGTTTCCGGCTTCCAGGCCCTCCCTCTGGGCTCCGCTCCAGGCCCCCTTCCCAGTGAAGAGGCCTCCTGCCCCGGCTCACGGCAAGTGTCGGCAGGATGACAAAGGCTGGGCAGAACACGTCCGATGCGCTTGTGTGGCAGAAGCTATTGGGACACAACGAGAAAACTCGATAAACGGAGATGTGAGAATGCGGATGGTGTCTCGGGGCCGAAACAGGTCTTGGGTATCCTTGTTGATTCAAGAGAGTAAAGCAGAGACCGGGGGGCTTGCAGTGTCCTGTCTCACCTGATCTTCCACCTGAAGACGCAGATAACTACATTTGCATGCTAGATGGAGAAGTGCGAATATTCCCCACAGCGGCCAAAAGGTGAAGAAGCCATGTGTCCATCGACGGATGCGTAAACATAGTGGGAACCGCCACACAACAGAATATTACTCAGCCTTGAAAAAGGAAGGGAATTCTGACACCTGCTACAACGTGGATGGACCTTGAGATTATCATGTGGAGTGAAGTAATCCAACACAAAAGGACAAATATTGTAAGATTCCACTGATACAAGATCCCCGGAGTCGTCAGATTCATGGAGACAGAAAGTAGGATGGAGGGGGTGCCGGGGGCTGGGGGAGGCGGGAGGGGGTTCATGTTTAGTGGACACGGAGTTTTGCTTTGGGATGGCGAGGACGTGGGTGGACGGTGGTGGCAGTTGTTCAACAACGTGAACGTACTTGGTGCCGTTGAGCTGTGCACTCATACACGGTTGAAATGCTAATTTTATGTTATGTGTATTTTACTACAATTTAAAAAAAAGGCAGCATGAGGGGTGCCTGGGTGGCTCAGTCGTTAAGCGTCTGCCTTCGGCTCGGGTCATGATCCCGGGGTCCTGGGATCGAGCCCCGCATCGGGCTCCCTGCTCCGCGGGAAGCCTGCTTCTCCCTCTCCCGCTCCCCCTGCTTGTGTTCCTGCTCTCGCTGTCTCTCTCTCTGTCAAACAAGTAAATAAATAAATAATCTTAAAAAACAAAAAAGGCGGCATGAGTGTTTCTTTCGGTTTCCAAGTCTTTCTTAGGCTTTCTCCGACCCTGGCTGGGGTGTTTCTGGCAGCACCAGGAGCCCCCACAGGCAAATGCTGAGACTCTCAAGGCTGGTAAGTGTTCCTCGGCAGGACCTGCCTTCTCGGGAGCGGGCGTCTTCCCCCGGCCTGAAGCCCTCTCTGGATTTCAGGTTTTATGCTTCTGTTCTCTCCCGAGCTTTGTGCTCAGCACAGGGCTTTATGGGAGTTTTGTATTGTTGTGCATAAACCCAAACTTACAAAAGGTACACTGGGGATGATTAACCAATATCATCATACTGTGTCTCCTCCTGCGAAGATTTACCGCGTAGTTAACTTCTTACAGGGTAACTTCAAATGCAGTTCTGGTTAGCTGTGTCCATGTGCAGCAACCCAACCTCTCTTTTTGGTGGAGGACTGAGGGTCGGGGAATGAGGGAAGGGTGACCTGGGGCATCAGGTGCTTGCAGAATCCGCTCTGGGGGAGAAGCCCTGCTACACTCACATCTCAGAAGTCCTTGGCAAGGTCTGGGCCCCCACAAAGGACGTGGGAGGGGGACGGCCTCAGCCCAGGATGACTTCATTGTGGAGACAGAAACTAATTCCTCTCTAAGTGGGAAAAGGCTCTTTAGCTACATTAAGAGGCTGAAATCTGATGAAAAGGCAAATAGATTCAATCTTCCTTGCACTAGTCGCCTGGGACTTCATAAGACTCAAACTGATTAGAAAAATTCACATTGAAAGCATCATTTATAATAGACCAAAATCATAGAAAACATTTGGCTTGGAGGGAGGGAGGAAGAGCACTTCCACCTAAGCCATAATCTTTCATTATCTCCCCCTACCTCCTTTATGGGGTCTGACAGCCCTGTCTCTTCCCCAGGACTAATCATTAGACTAATTAGTGGCTAATCAATGTTTAATTAAAACCTAGCCATTAATTACAGGATGTGCCATGGCAACTTGAGAATAAACTGGTTGCAAGTGGGATCCGATTTCCGTAAGCCTGGCTGGTCACCCAGGCAGGAAACTTTCCTTCTGGTCTTTGTCGGTGCTTCTTTGCACTTTGGTTTGGGTGGATCTGGAAGTCTGGAGAAGGGAGAAGAGAAGGAGTAGGGAGCAGCATGGGTTGATAGGAGCATCTTGGATTTCGGCCCATTACCCAGTTTCCCCACCCACTCCACCGGACCTTTCCCCATGGTTCTGGCATCACTCTTCCCACGTCTCAAATTTTAATCTATTTTTCCTCTGAAAATCCCTTATTGGGCATCTACATACTTGCATTTAGACTAACACTCAAACCTATTACCATAAACTGCAAGGTCCTAGATCAGTGGTTCTCAACCCTGGCTACATGTTAGAGTCACCAAGGGAGGTTAAAAAAAAAAAATAGAATAGAAAGTTAGACAAACAGACCAATGAACAGAGTAGAGAACCCAGAAACACACCCAGCATATATGGGTAAACAACATATGATATGAGGCAAAGGTGGCCCTTTCAAGAAGGTGGCATGGATGATCTTTGCTATCAATGGTGCTGGGTCAGTTGGATAGCCACCTAAAAAAAACCAGGAAGCTTGACCCCTACCTCACACCATACATGGAGGTCCATTCTACCTTCTAGAAGATAATATAGAAGACTATCTGGAATATTTTCATGATACAAAGAGCACTAACCATAAGGGAAAAGATGGACAAATGAGGTTATATTAAAACGAAGGGCTCCTGTTCACCGAAAGTCGCGATTAAGGGAGTGGAAAGGTAGGCACAAGACAGGAGATGTTTCTGGAGATATGACTTGCAAAGGGGCTCACAGGAAAACGGGTAAGAGACTTGAACAAGTACTTCACAAAGTGTCCTATTAGTCGTCAGAGAAATGCAAACGGAAATACTGCTCTAACCCAGTAGGATGACTAAAATGAGTAGACTGGTGACCCCAAGGGCTGGTAAAGATAGAGGACCACTGAACATTCATACTTTGGAAAGCTGTTTAGCACAATCTCCTGAAGCTGAGCATATGCCAGCCCTGGGGCCCTGCTGCCCCACTCCTAGACATCTGCTGAGGAATGTACACACACCAGTGCACCAAGGTGCATGCTCTAGAGAGTGAGCACAGCACCATCGTTTTAATATCTCCAAATGGGTTGCAACCCAAAAGCCTTTCAACAGGAGTAGGGCCAAATAAAACTGGTGAATTCATGTAGGGGGATACATAACAGCACCTCTATACTCAATGAACCTCACAGAAATAATGTAGCGTGAAAGGACCCAGGCACAAAATTGGATGTCAACTGTATTATCCCGTTCATACAGAGTTTAGGAACAGGCAAGATCATGGAGGTAATTATCTTTGGGGAGGAGGAAGGGGGAGTCACTGGGGAAGGAGGGGGCTTTCTGGGGGTCTGTGATATTCTACTTTTTGATCTCAGTGATGTGTGCATGGATGGTCCACTTTGTGACTAATCATTGAACACACATTTATGATTTGTGCACTTTGGGGCATATGTGTTATTTTCTTAAAGAGAAAAATGAATTGAGTCCTGGCTCCAGGCCAGAATAATTAGGTCAGAGTCCCTGGGAGAGGGTTCAGGTGACTCTGACATGTACTGGGGCTGCCCACCTGACCTGGCTTACATGGCCAACCTCTTGTCTCCCCCTCTCCCTTGCCTGCTCCTGCCCACCTCCTTTCTGTCCCTTGAACATGCCTCTTGTTTTCGGGCACCAACTGTTTGCACTTGCCTGTGTGTTCCCTGGGATGGGAAGGCTGTCTCCTGCCTGGCTCCCTCAAGTCACGCCCTACAGTGACCTTCCCTGGCCCGTCCATCTAAAATGGGCTGCTCATCCCAGCCACTTTCTGTTCTATCATTCTGTTTATTTCCTTTACTCTTTTGCGGTAGAGACAATGTCCTGTGGTCATCAAATTCCATTTCATTTGCGTCTTCCTAGATTTCGAAGAAGACTGTGTTTTTCAACCTCCCTTGCAGTTAGGTTGGGGCCGGTAGTTTGTGGACAGAGGTGACAGACGCCACATCCAGACCTTGCCACAGAACCTCTTGTGGGACCGTCCACACCCCCTATTCCTCTTCCACACCACCTGTGTAAGACGGAAGAGCCCAGGACGTAAGGAGCCTGGAGCCCGGAGTCACTGACAGGAGGAGAGCTGCCAGGTGGGGCTGCTGAACCACACTGATCATAGGTGAGAAATGACCTTTCCACAAAGCACTGAGCTTTCAGGCTTTGTTTGGGCCTGCGCGAGTGTAGACTATCCTGACTCATGCGGCACTTACCGCAATCTGAGATTACCTTGTTGGATTTCTGTCTCTTTGTCTAGAACGTGAGCTCCTGTTTACAGCTGTATTTCCAGCCCACGGGCACAGGCCCGGCATGCAGAAGCCCAGCAGCATTCCATGCAGGCGATAAATAGTTCAGTGTCGAGAGGACTCTGGAGACAGAGATGATGTTCTCAGGGTGGGAGGGGGGAAGTCTGCAGGAGAGAGCGTGGGTCTTGGGTTCCCTTTCTGAGTGGTAGTCTCTCCATCTGTAATAGCACGCAGGCTTGTTGGAAGGACGGCATGCAATCATCGCTTATGAACACCTAGCATGTTGCAGGGTGGAGAGGCGGCCTGTAATACTCCCTAGGATTGCAGATGCAGACGGGCAGACAGGGGAATTGAAGGCTCGAGTCAAGAACGGTCGGCCAGCACCTGCATTCGGTGGTGGAGGGGGCTGCACTTTCAGATGGGAGTGGGGTGGAGGTACGCTCATTGCCGGGTTGGCTTGGGGAGAGGTGCTCAGGGCACTCTGCACCCCTCCTGGGTGGTGGGAGGCACCTCCAGGTGCAGAGCGACACAATGTTCCCCATTCAGGGAGGCAAGCTGGCCTTGGACACACCTGGAAATCCCAGCAGGGCAGTCCTTGCACCCTTGGGTCCTCTGCCTGTCTCCTCTTTCACCTTCTGCTGCTTGCGCCCCCTGCAGCTCCACTGTCCTCTACCTGTCACCTGGCCCAGTCTCACCTGTCTGCAGATTCACCCCGGTTACGCTGCTGAATTTCCTTTCCTGGGACCTCTGCATGTTTAGAGATGACTGCTGGAGATCGGAGAGTCTTCACACGGAATGAGAGACCAAGTGGTGATGAGGGGTGCGTTTGGGGTTTTGCCAATGGCTCACAGTGCCGGATGGGCCTGGGAGGGGCGGGAGGCTGGGCTCTACCTGTCCAGGTGTAAACAGGGTGAAGAGTGGGCCATGGAGAGCCCCAGTCCAGGGTACTCCAACCCTTGCCAACGCACCCGTTCTTGTGAGAGGCAAGCGGAGCCCTGAGCGGTTATGGCTTTGCCCTGCAAAAACCCGGGCAGGGACCCGGGCCAGGGCCTGGCCTGCAGGTTTGCTGGCTTCTCCGGCTCAGCAATACCCAGGTGTTTTCCAGCCAGGGTGACTCGGGCGGCGCCTATCTGTCCTTCAGCACGTCCGTACCTGTCCTGGGCCGGTGAAGGTCGGCACAGCAGGGACGTGCCCCTGCTGCCTCCCAGCCTCCCCGCTGCCAGACTTGCCGCCGCCTCCCGTCCCCCCGGCAGCCCTGTCCTCTAGGTTCTCTCACTCCTCCTGCTCCTCTGGGGAAATGAAGTTGTGAGGGCGCTTGTGGGTGACCCGGCACTGTCCTTTCTTGCTTTGCCTGAGTGCTTTTTCAAAAGCCGCCGCTATGGGGTGAGAAAAAGTGAGCCTGTGTTCTTCCCCCATGAACGAAGCCCTGACGACATCCTGCTCATGGATGGACCTGGAAACACGCCCCAAGAAAGAAATCAGACACACAGGACCCGTGCGGTGTGACGGCCCCTGTGTGAGATGTCCAGGACAGGTGCGTGCGGATAGACCGCAGAGCACCGGTAGGTGGCCGGGGCCGGGGAAGCGGGGAGGGACTGACTGCTCACTGGGCCGGGGCTCCCTCTGGGTGCTGAGAATGTTCTGGAGTGAGATAGAGCTGGTGTCTGCCCAGCACTGTGAAGCCACCGAGTTGTATGCTTTAAAATGGTTCATTTTATGTTAAGTGGATGTCACCTAAATTAAAACAAACAGAACAGCACCTTAGTCCAGCATTTCCCCCCCGGGCTGCTGGGAGATGTGACTTGAACACAATCCAGCGACTACTGTTAAAAGCCCACTGACCCCTGGTTGGCTGCCCCGAGGTGACCTCCCTGCTCCCAGCTGGATCTGGGGCCCTGCAGGTGCTGGGGACAGTTCTGTCTACTTCCAGTTTTCATCCCGAGGCCGCGAGCTGGGCTGAGACTGACGCAGGGCGCCCACCCCCACTTTCCTGACCCTTGGCGCCTCTCAAGGTGCTGCCGTGGGTTTCCAGCTTGGCCCCCTGCACCCCGTCTCCTTATGCCCCCGGCAGGAATCTGTGGGCTGCTGAGTGGATAAGGTTGCCATGTGCGCAGCCATTTGGGAAGGACCTGAGTGGCCGAGTGGCTGACGTAGAGATAGGTGGGGATGGGGGTGCAGGATGTGTGTGTGTGTGCGTGTGCATCTAGGTGTCTGAGCTCCCTACCTGGGCTGCCCTCGCCAACCTCCAGGGGCACCTGCAACCTGGAGCAGCAATGGTCAAGGGGTGCAAGCAGTGTAGGGATGGTGGGGCACAGGCTGAGAGAGGGAGATAGGGGGAGGGAGGGAGAGATGGATGGATGAAGGAGGGAGGGAGGGAGAAAGCAGGTGTACCACTGTGCATGCGTAAATCAGGAACTAGGGAACAGAGAGACTCTGGACTCCTTTCTAAGACCTCGTCTGTCTTTCTTTTGTGGGAACTGTGAGTCCTTCCTTCTTGTAGTAGTGAATCCTCAGCTTAAGCAAAACCCATGAGCAAAGTAAGTCCCTCCCCTGCGCTGCCTGTGTTGGGGCCACTAAACCTAGGGGTCTTTTCTGTTATTTTTACAGAAGAGCAAAGTGTCCTCGCCCTTTGTCCCCTCCTCTGACTTGTGAGCTCGTGTGGTCTTGAGGAACTGCATCCAGAAGACGTCACCTGTGTCCCGAGACCGACCAGGTGCCCCACTGAGACGAGCCCCTCGATGTCCTGCTGACGCGCTGACCCAAGAGCCCTTGAGCCTCCTTTGAGGCGCCCAGGGAAGCAGCCATGCTAGCTGCTCAGCGGGCTTGGGATGCTCGTTATGACCCCTGTGTTCTTCCTTATGGTGCAAGGCTGGTCTTTATGGCGACCTCAACGTTTTCCACGACAGAATAATGTCGGCGCTCGGTGTCCAGGCCTGTACTTGGTGGGCTTCTAGAGTCTGGCCAGGGTTGGTATGTGTGGCTGGAACACTGAGGATGCACCAAGAGCATGTGGGGTGGGGGGGAGGTACTTGGAGGTTTAAAGACCGCGCTATAGTCTCCCCATGAGCTCACAGAACAGGCCACTGAGAATCAGGTCAGAAGAGGTTTCCAGTGCTCGGCGCGTGCTCTCCCGGCCCTCTCCCACTGTCTTCCTCCTCTCCCCACACAAACCACCCCTCCACCTCCCTCAGCACCTGCCCCCAACCAGGTACCACGCAGGAGCATGTTTCCAGATCTGCTCACTTGCTCCGTGCCACGACGTGCATGAGTCTGTGGGAGGGGGGACAGGTTTGTCTGGACAAAGTGGAGCTCTCCAGGATGGAGAAGGACGCGAGGCCATTCAAAATCAAGAAACCCATTAGCTGTGTCTTCACAGAGGCCGGGAAGCTGAACCTCAGCCCGGGGAGCTGTCCTGCTGCCATGTCCAGTGTCCTGAGCTCATCACCGTGTTGCTCTGTGCAGACTGTGCTTTTCTTGGAGGCTCATTTGTCAAGCATCCCCGGCCCTTGAATGGAAGGGGTCGCCGCCAGATTGGAACTGTGTCTTGATTCTTGTTTTCTGCTGGTGTTCCCACTAACGAAGGGCAGCTGCAGGAGAAAAGCATCCTGGGGGCCTAGACATGGTGGGAGTGGAGCTCCGTGCTGAAGACCCCGGACAAGGTGCCACATCACTTGCTCCTTGCCGTCTGAACATGTGGCCACCTGTATTTTCTAACCGCTAGCTACGTGCACCAAGAAGCAGAGGTGTCGGGAGGCCAGCCAGCAGCTGTGAGCCTGTGAATCTCCAGTCAGACCCAACTCCTTAAGAGCAAAAGGAGCGGGGCTTGGGCGCCCCTGGCCGCTGTGGTTCTTCATCTTGGTGTCTCTCTCCAGTCTGTCGGCACCGGCACTGGGGCTGCTTCTGTGGGGCCCTCTCCCGTGTCTCCCTTCCTTGCCCTTTCTCTTCCACACCCCTCACCCTGCTCGCCTTATTTCCTGCACCCTAGTTTCCAGGTACTCCTTGTCTTCTACTTGGACCATTGCCGAGGCCTCCCTGTCACCCTCCCCCCCCCGAGATTCCAAGCCTGTATATCCCATTGTCGTCACAGAAGTCTTTCAGAAGCAGAGCTACTTCTATGGCATACTGCTGCTCAAGAACATTCAGTGGCTCCCTGTTACCTAACGTAAAGAAGTCCAGACTCCTTGGCATGGCCTTGGACCCCCTCCGATTTGGCCCTGAGTTGACTTTATGGACGTGGCCTGCCTCATTTCCCACCCTAACCCCACTCCCCATTCCCCCAACTCCTGGCTGGAGTTAAACGGGATGGCCTGCTTACACCTCCCATCTGTGTCCACCCCGCATGGGCTTTGGGCTGGAGAGTTCTGTGAAGGAGACGACATCCCAGTGATCTTCCAGTCCACACTACCTACCCTCCCCTTCCCCTGAACTCAGAGTGTTTACGGGCTGGGTCACTCTGCATGGAAATTCATTGATTCAACAAACGCTGCCCATTGACACGATGCTTTGGTTCAGCTTGTCCTGAACTTTCCTGGACAAACTCCCGCCACACATTCTCAGTCCTATGGCGTTTTCAGCTCCTTGTTGCTCCTTGTCACAAAGAGGCTACTGTACCACTTCCCAAGTCCCACCCTATAAGCACCTAGGGTTTTCTTATCTTTCCATCCTTCTGTTCTTTAACTCACCATGTGCTTACAGAGTTCCTGTTCTGTGCCGAGCACTGGGGGTACCGTGGGGGTGAGGTGGACCCTGTCCTCCTGTTGTGTGAGGCGAGGTGGACGGGACCCCCCAGCCCCAGCACTGTGTAGTGAGCATGAAAAGGTGTGGGTGCTAGGAAGCAGGTGAGGGGGGCTGTGTGGTCTTGGGGTGTCAGGAGCCCCGTCTCTACAGAGGGGACTTTCAGCTGACATTGGAAGGATGACTGGGTGTTGGACATAAGAGTGGGAGCATCTGGAGACACACCAGGAAGGTGTGTGAAAGGCAGGAAGCATGTCCCAAGGGACTGGCAAGGGCTGGGTGTGACACCATCAGAGTTGCCTTTTGCGAAGGTGACCCTCTGCTGAATCCGGCCCACTGCCTGTTTTTGTCCATAAAGCTTTATTGGCACCCAGCTGTGCCCATTAGTTTATGTTTTGCCAATGGCTGCTTTCTAGATGTGGAATTGTGGAACCAAAGGCCACGTGGCCCACAGCGCCGGACATATTTACACGGACCTCTTATGAAGTGCTTGCAGACCACTCTGTTAAAAAGCTGGGTTGAGGGGCGCCTGGGTGGCTCAGTTGGTTAAGCGACTGCCTTCGGCTCAGGTCATGATCCTGGAGTCCCTGGATCGAGTCCCGCATCGGGCTCCCTGCTCGGCAGGGAGTCTGCTTCTCCCTCTGACCCTCCCCCATCTCGTGCTCTCTCTCTCGGTCTCATTCTCTCTCTCAAATAAATAAATAAAATCTTAAAAAAAAAAAAAAAGCTGGGTTGGGGGTGCCTGGGTGGCTCAGTCGGTTAAGTGGCTGCCTTTGGCTCAGATCATGATCCCAGGGTCCTGGGATCGAGCCCCACGTCGGGCTCCCCCCTCAGCGGGGAGCCTGCTTCTCCCTCTCCCTCTGCCTGCCGCTCCCCCTGCTTGTACTCTCCCTCTATCTCTATCAAATAAATAAATAAAATCTTTAAAAAAAAAAAAAAAGCTGGGTTGGTTTGGGATGTCCTGGAAGCAGAGCTGAGACAAGGGGGTTGGCACGGGGATAACGGCGGTGGGTGGAGGACGTGGGCCAGCAGGACTCGGGGCTGTATGGGGTCAGGCAGGGGAGAGAGTGGATGTGAGGAGTGCTGATGGAGACCCTGCTCTGAGGGAAGGCCCCCTGTTCAGGTCCGGACAGGCCCTGACCACCTGACTGTTCTGGAACCTTCCTTTCATTTCTCCATGAAACTGACTCCTGGTCTCTGCAGCTGCATCATGCTCCACAGATCTTTCCCTCCAGGGTTTGCCGACGAAACTGGAAAGTGTCTTCACCTTGCTCCCAAGTGTGATGTGGGGTGTGGAGACCCCACAGTTCCCAGAGCATCTGTCTCTGTGCGCAAAGCGCTTGTCTCCCCAGTCTGGAAGACGGCGGTCTACCCAATCCCTGCTCACGCCCTTCAAGGGTGCACTATACCGTCCCACCAGGACACGGCACTGTGGGCAGTCGGCTGCTGTTTTAATGCTGGCTCTTCTGCATTTCCATAGGCAGAGCACGTCTGAAGGGAAAATTGTACCTGTCTGTCAGGGTCTCTCCCGGAAATCACAAGCCAGAAGCTGAGCTTGGTGTGGTGGAGGGGGGTCGGTGTTTCTCCCCACAGAATGACTCTTGCCAAATGCAAGGCCTGCAACTTTCCCTCCTCACCCCGGACACAGCTCAGGACACCCTGATGGTCACCCCAGGCTGGAGGAAACCCAGCAGGAATCTGCTTTATGAATTCCGCATATCCCTTCACTTCTTTTTAAAAAACACAGTTATTGAGATGTGATTTCCATTCACACAAGTCACCCGTGGAAAGCGAACAATTCAGTATTCACCGGGTTGTGCAAGCACCGACCACAGTGTTCTAGAACATTTCCATCACCTCCAGAATGGAGGACAAAAGGTCCCATCATACCATTCCCCCAGCCTCTGGCAACCACTAATCTACTTTGTCTGTAGATGTCCCTGTTCGGGCATTTCACAGAACTGGCATCATATACCATGTGGCCTCTTGCGTCTGGCTTGACTCGGCACCATGTCCTCGGGGCTCATCCATGTTGTGGCAGGGGTCAGTGCTCTCTTCCTTTGTACGGCCAAGTAACACGCCACCTCGCTCGCCCCATCCTCCTAGTGACTATCACGCATTATTTGCTGGACAATCAACAGCTGAAAACAGAGGTTGGCAAACAGTTTCGGTAAAAGGCCAGAAAATAAATATTTTCAGCTCTGTGGGCCAGATGGCCTCTGTTGCAACTGCTCAGCTCTGCCGTTGCAGCTCAGAAGTAGCTGCAGAGGACACGTGTGTGAACGAGGCAGGGTGGGTTCCGGTAAGACTTTATTTACAAGAACAGGTAGCCAGATTTGGTCCTCGGGCCAGTTTGGGGACCCCTGGCATAAAGCATTCTCACCAAACTGCTTGAATCTGGATGTCCGTAGTGTGCACTTCCACGTTCTCCACCCCCGGGTCCCACCTGTCCCCGTGTTGGCCGCCCACTTCCTGGGGAGTGTGCCCTTCTTTCTGCACGTGTCCCAGTGACACACCACCAGAAGTAGAGTGTGTTTGCCGGTGGTAAGAGCCCTGGGCAACAGTGAACGGGGCCAGGGACCCAAGTCTGCTGGGGTGCACATATGCATGCAGCCCACTTCCCACAGGGGGTTGGGGAAGGCGGGTGGGCAGAGGACAGTGAAGCCCTGCGCGGGCCAAGGGGCTGGCCTGGTGCTGGGGGAGCCCAGGTGGGTATGGTGGGGGCAGGTGGAGTAGGATCGAGTGGGCATGAGTGGGCAGAGGGGGCAGGCTGGGCAGAGCTGTGCAGGCCACTTGCAAAGGCCGTGGGGAGCACAGAGTCGAGTGAACACATCGGGTTACCCCAGCCTCCTTGTGTGGCTGTGGACCAGACACTTCGCCTCTCTGAGCCTGACTTTTCCTGTGGGGCTCCTCATAGTCCTGGGATTGTTACAAAGTTGAAATGAGGCCGCAGCTGTGCCTGGCACATGCTCAGTGTGGGTCTCCACACTGATAACAAGAATGTCACCCGCTGCCCATCGAGGGCGGGGAGCCCCCACCCCAGGGACAGGATGCCCACTTCAAGGACCTTTCTAGGAACTAATCTCTCCTTCCTTTGGATAACTACTAACCTTGGACTTATCATTCCTTCCTGGGTTCTAGGAGGTTCTTTGTTCTGGAATGTAACATAATACGGATCTATATTTCCTTAACTAAAGCCTTGGAACTCCCTAAGAACTAGATGGGTTTTGGGTTTTGTTTGGATTTTACAAAGACACTATATGTGTCTACGTTACATTTTGTTAAGAGGCTCAGCGGATCTGGGGTGGCACTTTGTATCCCGCGTGAGCATTTCTGAAAAAAAGCACAGTCTGTCTGTTGGAGGAGGTCATGAGAAGATGTGACCACCGGTTGACCCGTAAGCTGGCCCTGGACAATCCAAGGTTCCTCCCCATCCCCTGAGCTTGGAATGTACGTTCCATCTCCTGTCCCACCATTAGCCATCTGCAAGGACGTAGTCCTGAGAGAGAAAGGTGTTGCTGAGACTTTCTAGACAGTGGCTGGGACTGAACTCAGTTACGGCCCCTCCATAAACTTCTAGGATTCTGGCGATGGGTGCGGAGACGTGTTCATCTTGTGGCGCCCAAGACCAGCCTCGTTGTAAGCCCCTTGCTTCTTACGCCGGCACCTACCCATCCGAGTGGCCTTCCTCTTCTGGCTACCCCTGCGCTTCTGGCATGGGCCTGTTTCAGATTTTCTCTGGGGGCTCCCAAGGTGCAAACCAACACCGTCCCAACAGTGAAGGGAGTGATGAGCTCCTGTCCACTCGGGTCAGGCTTTGGTGGTCGCAGCTCACATTGAGAACTTTCTGTGTGCCAGTCACTGGGATTTCTATGTGTTGCTTCACTGAGTCCACCAATCACTGTAGGGGGTGAGTACATGGTTATTGCCCTGGGCACTTGGTCAGCTGGCGGGGGGGGGGCGGCGAGGAGTAGAGACATGAGCCTGGAGTCTGTCCCCAGGGCTGCAGAGGCCATTCTGTCCCCCTGCCTGCTGTGGGGACGCCAGAACCTCACCGTCTTCGTTCTGGCTGAGGTGCAGGGCTTTGCCTCCAGCCCTGGGGCCAGTGCCAGGCACCGAGCTGCCTCAGCAGACCCGACATTTAACGTGCATGCGGAGCTTCTCCTTTTGCTGCCGGCAGCCTGGCTGGGAAGCTGAGCGCTCAGGCCTATGCTGACGCCATGGTCAAAATTGGTTTAGAACTGGTTCAGTATCCCACTTGGATTCTGAGCTCATTCTTTGTTCTACGGTCCTGCCATGGAGTCGGAGCTCAGTCCTTGGAGGTAGGCCTGCTTTGTGGAAATAGCCGAGAAGCATTTGCATGACGTTGCTTCGGAGAGAGGGAGGGAGGGAGAGGTGCTAATGCCACCACGAGACCCACGTTCCTGTCGTGGTTTTTAAACTGGCTCAGAAGCCTCTGGAAAAGAGGTGTCCCCACATGTTTTAAATAGGTAATACTAAACGACAAAAAGTGGGCCCCCAAGGTGACAGAAGTGCTCTGAAGGACAAAATTCTACTCCACGCCTGAGTCCAGTGACTTGTATTTGTTATGGCCGGAGCTCATGCGCTAGGATGAACCCGTTTCCTCACACGGAGGGGCTTGTGCCTAGGCTGGCCGGCCACATCCAGGTTTCTGCTAGCTCCAGTCTGAGCCAAAGACTTTGGGTTCGATCCATAAAGTTTTCACCAAGGGTCAGGCATGTGGGGCGGAGCCCTTTAGACAGGTGGCTTTTCTGCTGCCTCTTTCATGGGCTCTGGGCACGTGTGGAACTAATTTTCCCAGTGTCTTTCTTTTCTCTCCCTCCACCCTGCCAGGCTATTCTGGAAACTCTTCCCACTGAGCACAGTCTTTGGAGGGTGGTCCTGAGGAGTTCAGGTGCTCTGGCTACATAAAGGCAACAGGTCCTGCAGAGCCAGAGACCTGGCTGGGAGTCCTGGCTGTGCCGCTTAGTACGTGTGTCTTGGGGGCACACGGCACCTCTGCGGCTCCGTTTACTGGGTCGGGAACCTGAAAGTTCTTTGCAAGCTCTACAACTCCGTGATTCCATCTTTGTTTTATGCCCTTGCTTATCCTCTTGGCAAAAGTGTTAGCCTGCTCTGGATTACCTACTGTGTGAAGCTGAAAAGAAAAAGAGCAGTATTTATTTCAAATTCATACTGTGCAGATGTTTTACATATTTATACAAGCCACACAACTTGCACGAATTGGTGAGGCTTTCCTATACAGGTCCCCCAACATTTAGTTTCGAGAAACTCAATTAACTTTAAACAAATCAAGGTGTATGACAAGCAAATCGTTTTAAAAGTCAAGTAGTGCCCCAAGGTTGTAACAAACACCCACAGCACCCCCGCCCCCCTCTGCTTGCATCCCTTTCTGCTCTTAACTCTTTCTTCTGGCATTTACCTCCTGTCTTAGTTCAGGCTGCTGTAACAAATTATCATAGAGTGGCGTCAACAACAAACGTTTGTTTTTCACAGCTCTGGAAGCTGGGAAGTCTGTGACCAAGGCACTGGCAGAGCCCGTGTCTTGTGAGGGCCCACTTCCTGGAGTGGAGACGGCTGTCTTCATGCTGTGTCCTCACGTGGCAGAGAGCAGACAGCAAGCTCTCATGTCTCTCTCTGCAAGGGCACTAACCCCATCATGAAGGCTCTAGCCTCATGACCTGAGGTCCCACTTCCTAATACCATCACATTGGTGGTTAAGATTTCAACATGTGAATTTTTGGGGACATAGATTTTCAGTCCACAACCCCTCTGTATCTCTAAGCATTAGGTTACACTGAAATCTCTTGACTTACCAATTTTAGACTTCATCTTTGAGCTTTTCTTTTCTTGATCATCTTCCAGCCTCCCCAAATAATAGCCCAATTTTGGTTAAATCTACATACAAGTTTTCTTTATTATGACTA